AGGGTTAAATCAGGATATGTTATAAGATTAAGAAAACACACCATTACATATACTAATTTAAATACTTACTGCTATTTTTGGTATTGACAGTGTGGAATTCATCCAAGTCACCATCCTCTTTTGAGGAAACAATATCACCAGGGATGATATTTTCAAGCAAAGTACAACAATATATTTCACACTATTGTAACTTTCCCATGCAAACTTCTGGTAGGGAAGGATTGTTAAACTTGGAGAGTCATCTTAACCAACAACACTTTCAACTAGAAATGACACAGGTACTTATTCGGCATGGAGACAGAGCCCCTGCCATATACATCCCAAACACAGACAATAGCAACTATGATTTTGATTGTACATTCAAAACTTCTGATTACAACAACAAGAAAATGTTTGAAGAATATTCACAATCAACGAGACATATTTCCCCACGTGAATTTGTGAGAAATGTGAGAACAAGCTTTCACCTGGTACCAACACCAGGAAGCCGGTGTAAAATTGGTCAACTGACACAGAGAGGTTTTCTTCAGCATTTTGCTCTTGGAAAACACATGAGAACAGCTTACAAAACCTTAATAGATTCTGGTATTGAGTCTAGCAATCTCCATGTGCGATCAACCCAGGTAACAAGATGCGTACAAAGTGCAGCTGCCTTTCTTTATGGCTTGTTAACAAAGGATGCCATTATGAATGGTAAGCAATTACTTTTAAAAATCCTTCTTTACTGATTCATTCCCAAGATCTCTTAAGCAATACTTCTCACTGTCTGCCATTCAATTCTTCTGATTTTAGTTTAGAGAATTTGGTATTGGATCCACTAATAATCTACTGATTGATATTTTTCTGTATTCTCATCACCTGTCTGCTTGATACTGTATTGATATTGTAAGGAGAAATTCTGTCTTGGTCTCTTTTGAGAGTTTAAGGGTTAAGCTATTATGGCCTTAACTTTACTTTTGATCATTACTTTTTTGAGTGCCATCAAGCTTAAGACAGGTTTTACTGACGTGGTCATGTAATTCACTTTAGACCTTGGAGGGCATAAAGGGGTCTGTTCTTTTTTTCCATAGGGAGGGTTATGCCTTTAAAAGAAATGAGAGATTAGAGTTTACCTCTTGAGAGTCTGGATTCCTTAAAGTGGCACAACAAAAACCATATAATTGTAGATTAATTATAAAAATAAATGATTCTTGTTTTAACATTACAGAAAGGGTAACCATCAACATTACTTCAAACAGTTGGTTCCAAGAAGATGACAATGGAACTCCCTATAAGTGTCCGTCATTGAGGAGTCGTTGGCATCAGTACAAACAGAGAAGTGACTACATCTCAGGCTCTGCTGCAATAGAACCAGTAATGCAGGAGTTTTCACGGCTGTTGAGGACTCCAAGGCCATCTCTAACAACTATTGGATTGTAAGAATTAGTCTCTCTAAAATATAGTTTTGTGTCCTTCAATGAGCATTTTTATAACATACAGGATCTGAAGTTTACCCTTTCACTCCCAAGATATTTTTGGTAATTCTCCTTACTGTGTGCTATACAATTCTGGTGATGTTAGTTATGAGAAATTTGATATTGGATCAATTAACAATCCTTTAATTGATATTTTTCTTTATTCTCGTCAATTGTCTGCTTGATATTGTATTGATACTGCAAAGAGGAATTCTGTCCTGGTCACTCACTTGTAAAGAGCTTGACTTTCAGTCACTTGTTGTAGTGGGATCAGTCACTTTTTACTAAACAATGGAATGGCATAAAATTCATCCACTACGAGTACATCTTAAGTCAAGCCAACTGACCCACACAGCTTGAGATGGTCAGGCTTTAGGTTGGGGATGAGGATCTGGATGGGATTTGTCCAACACT